ATTCCAAGGCTCTTCCGGATGTCACTATTCCGGACCGTGTCGAGACGCGTAAGGCCAGCGACTCGTCTAAAAAAGCCCATTTCAGCAGCTTGTACCCTGGTTCGAAGTTTTTCATGATGGTCCACGATTTCGGGCTGCTGAAATTGCCCTTGCAACAAAATATATTGAATTTTAGCCTTATGTCGCTTCAATGATTCTAGATACATGGAAACAGAAAAATGGCATTCTTTAATGTAACTGCTTACCTTACAGACAAACTACAATGGCAATCCTCAAGGCACACAATGCTTGCAAATGAAGCAAAATTGCATCGTACATAACCAAGCAAAATCTTTTCAATATAAGCACTACAAGGCATGCACACCTTGGAAATAACTGCAACATAACTTAACATTCAATTTCTAAAGCTAACGCTGCATTGCTGGTCAGCTCTTGTATCAGTTGAATGCATAAAAGACGTGCTGGAAGCTCCAGATCAGTCATTTACAGTCTCTTAAGAACCATTCGCAACCACCGGTTCATAGCCGCAGGATTCGATGAGCGTGTAACCATCAATTTGGCTGCAATTTGGTCATGTGCAACCGGCGGAGGTCCATGAGTACTAAATCAATGCGTTCGTTTTACCTCGCAATTACACAAATTTCGTAATTTATCTTCCATAACGTCCCGTAGTTCACTGCAGGCGATTGAACTGCGGGGTTACCTGAGCAGTGGAAGTACATGATACACAGATGCATGACTTGCCTTCGAATGGTCACTGAAGCTTTGTAATTTAGGCATGGTTCTGTTTCGGAACGCCCCTAATATTTTGGGATTCACGGATCACGCTGATGCAGTTAATCGTGTCGGTCGCTGGATATGCGATCAGGCTACAGCTGGATAAAGCGCCATGAGAGACTCGGCATGTCAAGATGTAGCGGAAACACCTGTGGCCTTGGCACATTGGAAAGGGTAGGTTTGGGTTAAATTTAGTTTAGCATAACGTGGGAAGCTTACCGTATGACCGACGCAGGTACACGTTTCGAGGTTGGTGTGGCTAAGCTGACAGCAAAACAGCACCTACGTACACACTTCATCAAACAATAAACTCGTTTTGCCATTTAACTATTTAGCTTTCGCAGAATCAGCATCCTCCGATTCAGCGTCAGGTTGCGGACACCTCGGAGGTTTAACTCCGAGATACTCATCCAGCAGGCTTCCCACCGCGAAGACGTCGTTCATATCCACTCGCGTGCCGACAATTCTCGCACGGAGTATGACGCCCGGTTGAATGACTTGCTCAGTTTTTATGTCACAGAAAGACGGCGGCAGGGCTTCGGGGTCGAAAATGTAGTCGGGGGGCAAGTTAGTTCTACTGATAAATAAGGATATCGGCCCGATATTACACATTATGCCGGAGCGCACTACACCCGTAACCCTCGCGTCGATCACCTCGTTCTCATAAGGTCGAAATACAACTGCCTTGTATTTAATATGGAATCGGGCGTGTGGGTGTCCAGTCTGGATTACGCCATCGCCAATACTCGCGATCTCTGTCACGCATATCACGATGCCGACTCCGTTGATGCACTTGCCTTCTACGTCGGCGTACAGCTTCTTCTTGACGATTTCCTTCACATTGGACCCAAAGCAACGCGGGTGCAACAAAAGATCGTGCGTAAGAAACATATGGTAGTACATTGTCGTGCGAATATCTTGCACTGCCGTAAAGCAAAACAATTAAACAAGTGACGACAAAATCTCCCTACAATAAATTACAAACGTTACAGTACTAGAACAGGCGCGAAGCTGATACAAAAATTTAAGTCTGTTTATGACAATTATTATTTTCTGTAGAAATGATCAGCAGGTACATTTTTCCGTTTGTCAGCATGCCAGCGTTCATCGCACAACGTTCGTCTGAAAATGTACTTTGACAAATGATTATCGCTTTCAACTCCATGAAAAAGTTATTTTGTTACTAGCGCTTAGCTTCATAGCATGGTTAATCATGCAAACATGCTGGAATGCAAAGGTTTCGCGACCGAGACAGAAAATAATAGCTGATTCTTCGTCGACATTAGTTCCCACCATTTTTGTCACGGGCATTAAGAACATTATCAGGAAAAAGATAAAATTACTGACAGTAAAAGTATCTTGAATTTTTTTAGAAATTCGTCCATCGCAGATATCTGTACTGTGCGTTTCGACACTATGGTTAAATAAAACAGACCTTTGACCATAAACAAAACTACAGTAAGTTATGTAGTATACTACCTGGAGCCCACCAATGACAAGAAGCTAATATTTTGAAGGACACGGCGGAAGACGCGCAGGAGTAAATTGCCGTGCTTAATGTTCCAAACATTACGATTCGCCTTGCTGCAATGCGACACCTTCTACTTAGTCAAGAACCGAACTTTGCTTGATCTCTACGACCGTTCGGTTTGCTTATCACCTTGTCAGAGTATTCAGTAAATGTCTGAAACAACTTAAATTTTGTAATCAACGACGAAGCAATCTTTTTTTCTGGTGATGCAACAAATTCATGGTCCAGCTGAAAAATTATTTGCTGCATTAATTTTTGCCTTAAATTATTCAGTATATGGCATTTAAAGAATGTTCCATATGCTCGCTTCTTTCCTAACGTATTGCAAACAATCGTGGAGACTAGTTTTTGTTTGTTCAGCATCTAATTTGATTCTGACATCATAAACACGATTGGCTATCACTTATTCACAACCCCTGCAAACTGGCGCTACTCTCCCAACCTGGTACGCTCTTGACAGAAACAAA